TTATAAGGTTTTTCAACCTTATTTCTTTTCCTTGGTTTAGGATAAGATAAGGGAGTCTGGTAGGCAAATTGATCACAAAATTCACCTACTTCCTTTCGACCAGTTAATCTTTGGGATTTTAACTGGGATTGTAACTTCAGATCATTACAGAGAGCTAGACCTTCCTGGATTACAATGTTAACTAATCCACCATAGGTATAGTTTCTGTAAGGGATAGAGATACCATTGTTCATATCTCTAAGCTTTTTCCTGATTCTTTCAGCAAAGAAGGTTGGTAAACCATCTACAAATTTGGCTTTCCAGTGTTCATGATTTGCATCATTAAGTTGGAGAACCTTTGCCAAGAATACATCTTTATACCACCGGAAATGAGTTAAAGATGGACATCTTAGATTTTGTAGAAGTTCACGACTCCGTTCACTATTAGCACCTTCAGGGCCAACAAAATGTTGGATAATAGTGGTAATGAGCGTGTAAACCGCATCAGGAGCAGGGCCTGATTGTTGAGTAGCTTCATCTTTAACAATCTTGGTAGCAGAAAAGATTTCAGCTTTCTGAATGTCAGTGAGAACATTATCCCACCATCCTTTAAGGATTCCTGTAAAACCAGCAACGACAAACTTAGCAATGGTTGGGTCAGTATTGTTGTTGATTTTACAAACTTGGCTATACATCAAGATTTGATGAATAACTTCGTAAATCTGATAATCAGATTTGCCATCTATGTTCCATTCATAAATGGTCTTGCCATGAAAAGATTTCTGTGTATGGAAATAATCTTCTTCATACAAGATATCTTGAGGTGTGGGTCTGGGATAATAATATCGACTCGGAGCAGGGGCTGTATTTGAGTGGATATTCTTATCATAGACAATTCTGTTGAACTCAGGTAACTGAGTAAGATCCTTTAGAACTTCCTCAATATGAGGTAACACATTCTCAGAATCAGAACCAATTTCAGATTCATCATGGGATAGAGTCTGAATTTTCAGTCCTTGAATTTTCTGAGTAAGAAGAGTAAGAAATTCTTCATTCTTCTTAGGATGTGTCAGATTGAAGCCTTGAACTTCAATTGCAGGTTTGACTAATGCTTTGGATAAGGAAGCTTCTGGAGGAGAAGGTTTCACAGAAATACACTTAGTATTAATTGTATTTAAGACCGTGTCTATTCCTGTTTCAATTCTCCCAAGCTGGGACCCTATCGTCTGTAAGCAAACATTAGTATAATTGTTCTGTTTGTAAACCTGGGTAATGTCCTTTCTAGTAGCATTACTGGTTGGATCAACTACCCTTGGTTGGCTATAAGCTTTGGTTTCCACTTTAGAACCACTGTCAGAGTCAATTCTTTTCAAAATTAAATGATCAGGGAGAGGATGGACAGAGTGGAAAACCTTATCTTCAGATGTGGTCCATGGTTTGAGAAAATCATCCAATATGTTGATATTAACAAGAGAATGATTGGTCATATAGAACCAAGAAACAAAAGGTATAACCATTTTGCGTTCTTGTAGAAAGTCATAAAATTGGGTTTTAAAAAGCTGTAACTGATTTTTGTCAAAACTTTTGAAATACCAATTTCTGAATTCTTGATACTGATCCTGTTGAAATTCAGTATTAATGGCAATTCTATCAGGGACAAAATCCATTAAAACTAATATTCCTGAGGATCATTAATGTCTGTGGGATCTTCAAATTGATCCTTAACAGGTTCGTTTCCGATTCCCATTTCAGATGGAGTTGGGCTGAATTCAATTCCAAATTGTCGACGAGACATACCTATGGGTGCTTTCTCGTAAACTCCTCTTGGAATCTGATTCGGGGATTGTTGTATTCCTTTCAGCTTGAGCTTGGAATCAACTGCTTCAGGGAGTCCTTCCTTTCGGTAATCTGATGAGATCGAATGTCGAGAAGGAGGGCAAGAAACTCGATAAGGAAGATGACTTCCTTTAGATGATGCAGATCTGGATAGATCTATCGATTTTCTGAAATTCAGAAAAACATCACCATCTTGATCCTGAATAACACAGTCTAAGCTATGATTAGCAATTGGCTGTGCTGGGACGGCATTAGAAATCGTCCAGTGTTCAGGAAATGTTATCTCACTCCAAGGAATCATCCTTTTTGTGGCAACATTTGATGTATACATATTAGTATCCCATAACGCTGTTACTCCTTTAGAGTCTTTGCGTATGGCCTTGGGACACATAGTATCAAGTACTTTGTAATGAATGCGATAAATAACACTTATCACTTCCGATCCAGGTAAATAATCATATCCATAAGTCTGTACCCTAAGACTAACTGCCTCATGGATATTTTTATCGGTTAACGATAAATTCAGACTAGGATATACATCAAAGTAAACCGGTCCATGACATAGACTGGTTTCCAGTGCACCCATCAACGAAGGGTGAAATTTCAGACATCTAGCATCCCTTAGGGTTGCTTGAATACAAGCATCCATACCTAACAAGGTCAAAGGTTTAAAAGCAATTTGAATTAAACCTATATGGATGTACTTATATTTATTCATGTGCCTCTGAAGGTCACGTGAAGACAATAACTTAATTATTGTATCCTTAGTGCTTAATTGCATGGTCTGTTCCATGGTCTTGATAGTCCATAGATCAGCTAAATTAAGCATCCCGATTTTGTAAATGCTTTTAGCACTTACTGGATGGATAGTCCATTTGTTCAATTGATTTTGAACATTGGTCCATTCCACTACATATTTTGAATGACATATTTAATCCTTTTACTGAATTTTCTATTGTTTATATTGATGATATTCTCATATATTCCAAATCAATAGATCAGCATTATAAACACTTGAAAATTTTCAAAGATGTTATTTACCGAAGTGGTTTAGTTGTTTCTGCTCCTAAACTAAAACTGTTTTTAACTAAGGTCCGATTTCTTGGTCATGAAATTTGTGATGGGAAAATTAGACCTATTGATCGCAGTATTGAGTTTGCTTCTAAATTTCCAGATGAAATTAAGGATAAAACTCAACTTCAAAGATTTCTGGGTAGCTTGAATTATATTCGAAGTCACTACAAAAATCTTGCACAGGATACAGCAATTTTGTACACCAGGTTAAGGAAATCTCCTTCCCCATGGACTTTGGATCACACCAAGGCAGTCCAGAAGATTAAACTCAGAGCCAAACAAATTCCTTGCTTAGCTCTAGCCAATTCTTCATGGTTCAAAATTGTGGAAACGGATGCCTCCAATATTGGATACGGTGGTATTCTTAAACAGAAAAATCCAAACACAGGAACAGAGGAGCTGGTTCGCTTCACTTCAAGATGAGCAATGGATGCCAGATCCTTGGGAAGTCAAATCCAGATATTTCCAAACTCAACAATATGCTGCACCGGATGGTCGCCATAGATATATCTATGAAGCCATTCTTACTGAAACTTCCTCTGTGGAGATTAACCACACGAAGCAATTTCCGAATTCCAAAGATAGTCCTCTTACTTATAGTAAAGCTATCTTTAAAAGACTTATACGGCCTAGTGACTGGGGATTAAATCCCAATTTGCCAAGGAAAATATCCTATGGTCACAGTTACAATTATTGGGATTATATCTCAACATGGACATATTCGTTCTTTTATCAAAATCCGAAGCATAGGCATTCTTGGTTCTTCAAGATATGTCCTCAATCAGTTAAGACTGATTTCCCCAACTGGGTTATACCTTGGTGGGCTATATTTGGCCCTGATCTGGATATGTTGCCTGAATCAATCAGCAAATTATATTTGCCATGGCAACAATTTCATCCTCAATTACGAGGACAGGATAATATTCCTGTAGGGAAATCCACCCTATTGTTCTTTACTGAATTTGGAATCCCTTGGATTTGGAAATGGGATTTCCAATGTGGTTATACCACTGACAAGTTACCAGTCCTCCAGAGGATCTTTTATTACAGATGGTGGTCAGGCATGACTCAAGAACCTATCCAAGCCCTCCTCCATCAGATCAGAAAGAAAACAATGGAATATATGGATAAGATTCCAAAGTTGTCTATTCCGGAACCAGAAATCTTTAACCCCTTTGAACTTGTTAAAGATATGATCAGAAAACAACAACCATTAATTACCGAAGCAGATTTAATGGTTAAATGCATGGATTTTATGAGAAATAAATTTGTTAAATCCTTTGAATCCTCTACCCCTACAGTAAGAGATGATGCATCCATGGTATCAGTCTCTAGCCAGACCAGTCAAGATGGAAATACCAGCAAATATCTGTTTGGAAACTAAATTTTTTACATCTTTTTCCAGTACTTGTTTAGCAGCACTACAATCAATGCGTAACAAGAATTTCTGATTGATTAAATCATCTTGGAATTTAGAAATGCATTTAACCAAAGAAAGAATTTCCTTTTTTATGGTTGAATAATTTAATTAAAATGGACTTGAAATTAATAATTTGAAGTCCGCATAGTGCATGGGATCGTGTGCTGGAATAATGCAGTCGGTCGGCCCACCACTAAGTGCTGTCTCCTTATCTGATGGAAAGTAGACATCTGATAAAGGAAATACTGTTGAATCAAAGACTTTGGGGGAAAGTTCTTTGGCTTCTTCTGTCGGCAGGATAAGAGGAATCTTTACTTTTTAGGTGGATTCATCTTGTCCTTCAAATGTCTTGTGAGCGAATCCCAATAATCTGCTATTGAAATCTCATCTTCTGAATTAAGATCTTTATTTAAGAATGATACTTTTAAATTGTATTATATAGTATAAATTTAATTTATTTAAAATTTAAATATTTATTACTCATTAATTTAATAAAAAATAATATTATCATACCTTTTTAATAAGAACAATGACTTAGGGTAATTTACACAGATCACTCCTATGAACTCTTCCTGTTGAAGAAATTACACGTATTTTTACTAAAATTCTCATAATACCCTTGTCCCTGATATATATCATATATATATATATATATATATATATATACACACACAGAAATCTGAGTGAGGACTTTGAACCCACTTGGAATCATAGAATTCACCGAATGAGTAATCAAAACCAGGGCTTTGATGGTGAAGAGTCCTGGAATGGGTTACCAGTTCAGACTGATGAGTGTTTGGCTTTAATGGTCAAAAGGGAATGTAAGCATTTGCCCAGTGGTGATTACTTGAACAGGTTGAGGAATGGGGACTTGGATTTGGGGGCCAGAATGGAAGTTGTGGATTGGATTGTCAAGGTTGGTTCAACAATCTTTGTTTATTAGGTTTCTTTAATCATGAGTTCTCCGAAATGGTAATTGTGCCTTTTTCTTTTTCTTTTTCTTTTTGTCGAACCGGATGCCCATTCTCTCTCCCTCCTCTCTTTCTCTCTCTAACCATCGGCGACGAACCTATCTTTTCGGCGAACATTCCGTGACCAAATTATTCACCTACACTCGGCTCTCCATCTCCAGAATCATTTATCTACACGATCGGACCAGAGATCAACTGGTTTCACTGCTCCCACCGCCGATCGGATTTCATCTATCACCTCACCTCTCTCTGCAACCGCCGATTCAGTTCCAAGCTTGCCAGCTATTCTTCTAAGCGCCGAGCTCCCTCTAGCTCTCCGCTGCTCGTCGCCAAACATCAGAAACAGTACCATACCGGGTCAGGGTCAAGCTCTACGACTCCGACTTGATGGTTCTCATCGCCATCGCCGGCTCCGGCGTCCTTGTAGTCACCGCCTATGAATTATTCCCAGTAGTTCTAGAATAAATATAATTTTAATTAATTGAATTGATTTTCTACTCAAACTCTTCCTTCACATGATTTTTCTAGGTAAATTACCATATTCTGAATAATTTTTAATGACAATTTTCCTGAATCTCAAATTTGTCATGTATCTTATGGGATAAAATATTTTCAGGTCGATACAGTGGCGTATCATCTTTCTGTCTTGAAGGACTTATTCCCAGGGGGCATCAACCTTTTATCTCTGTTCTCTGGGATTGATGGTGCAGAAGTAGCCCTACATCGGCTTGGTATCCCTTTGAAAAATGTTGTATCAGTTGAGATTTCCGAAGTGAACAGAAATATTGTCAGGTGCTGGTGGGAGCAAACCAACCAAAAAGGAAATCTGATTGACCTTGCTGATGTGCAACAGCTCAACGGTGACAGGTTGGAGGAGTTGATGAATTCATTTGGTGGTTTTGATCTTGTTGTTGGTGGGAGCCCTTGCAATAACCTTGCGGGCAGCAAGCGTTTGAAAATCTAACCTTTTTGAGTGCCACTTCAAAGGTGGATGCCCTTGAAAAAAAACAATGCTTTCAAGTCTATGGTTTCAGGGTGGCCTCTTTGTACTTACTTTTTCCATCACTCAATAGAATCCTTTATTTTAATTGTCCATATAGATCACTGAAAATCTCCTTATAACTCCTCTGCAATCCAGAGGGAGAAACAGTCTGCAAAGTTGTTATGGGCATTTTAGTAATTTAAGATAATAATATGAGAGTATTTTAGTAATTTTGACACATCCGTTAGTGTGCTTAACGATCCGTCACATACAAGGGAGATCCGTGTACGATATTTTCAAAAGTAAGGGAGGTTCGCGTAATTTCTGAAACAGGAAGAATATTACCTGTAATTATGACAAACTATATGAGAGATCGGTATAAATTACCCAATTTATAATAAATATACCAAAACTGCGACAGTATTCATTATTTTGGCTGATGTACAATATCGAATATTGTTTTACACAATTCGATAACCAATTTCGTTATGTAATACAAATATGAAATAGGTTCCGTTAAGTCGTGACAACTACTGCGAACCTTAGTTAAACCCTAACATAACACTCAACACACAAAATCAAAATTCACTCTCCAGCACAACCTAACATAACACCAACACACAAAATCAAAATTCACTCTCCAGCACAACCTTCTTCATCAATTTCCCAACGGAGTATAGACGACTATTATTTTACAACATTCCGCCCAAACTCCTCACCATTCAAACCTTCTTCACTGTCTTCTTCTTGTATCAGAATTAGCCAATATGCAGTGGAATTAGATCGTTTGGAGCTGCACTGCCGCCATGCATGTCACTACACGAAGGGAGACTTAAAAAGTATTTCAATACATGAATACTTTCTACTTGATCGACTCTTGAGAGCATGCAAAATCGTGTTTTTTAATTTTCAAAATAAAATATTGCATACCAACTTGCAAGAAAAAATTCAAATTATTTTACGTGGCTTTGGTTAAAAAAACACATAAATTGGCAAAATAATTTTTTTTTAACCTTATGAGAAACAAGGCAAACCATGTAGAAGAGTTCAAGGGAGGAAAAGCTCCTGCTTAACTTGTAAAAACTTGTATGGCATTGAAATGAGTGATTTCTTATTGGGGCTTTCCAATGCTCACTCCTCATTTAGATAATTCGGATATGGGACTTCTGCCCGGGTAAGGCTCAGACTATGTTCGCGATCGTAGTCCCAAAAGAATTGAATTTAAGACTTAAGCTTCATGAGGCTACATGCCAAAGTCTTTTCCAATTAGGCCAACTCCTTGGGGTTCAATGCTCACTCCTCATTTCTTCATAGGTTACGGAGTCAGAAGCACCATTGGACATTAAACATGACAAAGTTGAGGTCAAAATGCTATTAAGTTCAAAGAAATCCTTAGAATATTTTCTAGCAATCCTTTAACACAAATTCATAAAAGGCGTGCACAGTTTAGTAGTGCTTATCATTATTATTCTGCCCCTAGAAAAGGACTATTCCATTGTCATCATCTTCTCTTGCTCATAAATCAGGATACCTGAAAAGGAATATTTTGTCTTTTGGGTCAAAAAGAAGCCTTTTGCTACCAGAACAAAAAGAAAAATTACATCAACAAGGAACAATAACTACCACGTATTGTACACCAATTAGACAAAACGACCATAACAGCAACATAAAACATACAGTAATTTTTAGAAAACTAGGGTATAACATAACCACAGTGTGCACAATACCTTTTTGTATTTAATCTATTAAAAAAGGCAAACATAATGCAATAAAATAATAGTAATATCAAAGAAACAAAAACAATTGCAAAGAAGAACATAGAGATCATGTTTTCTGTCATCCAGAAGTCTTTCAGAATGTTGAACAGTGTACAACAACTTTGGTGCATTAATTAGCCAATGATAATGTCAGAAACAAACTGCTAAGGATTGTGTTCTCATATGTTCAATAGTTTCTTATGGGTTTTGACTCTGTGATTTCCTTCCTTGTCTTAAGGTTGGAAGTGTTTCATTTGAGGTTCTTCCTCGATTGTAACTGTATTTTTTATATATATCTATAAAATTTTCCATCATTTAGGTAAAAAATTAACAATTGCAAAGAAAGTAATTTTTGTTAGATATACATAATTAAAAAATAATAATGCAACAACAAAATAATCAATCACAAGAAACCACTACAGGCTAGTGTGAGTTTCTTTGCAAGGTTTAAAAAATAAATAAATAAATAAAATACCACCTAGGAACAATTCCTAAATTAAATTTTTTTATACAAAAAACTGTGAAATCCAAATAGTGAAATCTGGATTAGGAGAAATATGTTTGGAAATGAAGCACGAGAAGTTTACGAAGAGATGGAACTCTGGACTTACTATTGAACGAAACTGATGTAATATCCAAATCCTTAAGATGCACATTAATGACTCTGTGGCTTTCAGTATCCAGGGTGCTTCATCTTTGAGGATGGCAGGTGCATTTGTTGGTGATACATTCCATAAGCCCACAAGATAATGGTGTGGTGAATTTGTAATAGAGATACTGTAAAGAGATTTACATCTCGTCTCTCTTTATAGTGCTCTAACCAAAAAGAGAGACCTCAAGGTATCCCAAGTCTCACTAAACAACAAAACCCTAGAAGTCCCAAGTAAACCACAACCCAACCCAACCCAAATATCAGTGCATGTGGAGAGTCCAACCGCATAACTCCGCAAGCATAAAGATGATTTGAATTGTAAATGTGTTCAATGGGATCCTTTTGTTGTTTTTGGGACGCGTTCCCCTTTTGAACGCCTTTAATGAATTTGCTTAATTATCCAAAAAAAAAAAAAAAATTTATTAAAAGGACGCCCCCCGACATAATTTCCTGGGTCCGTCACTGTACACCACCAACATTTCAGTGTGATGTCAAACACAAAAGTCATGGTACTCTTGCCTACCACTATATGGGGAATACTCACTCATGGAGTCACAAATAAAGTGTAAGCACTTAGAGATGGAGATACGACATCTAAGATAGTGGAGATTCAAGTAGATTAGGCCAGATTGGACACCAAGACAGCCTTATAAGAGAGAGAGTGGCAACAACCATGACAAACAACAAACCCTCGGAAACCCAAGGCCACTTGTTACAATTCTCACACGCTTATCATATGTGTCTCGAGTTAAGAGTAGGTAGAAGCCAACCCAAATTTTCCAAGGGAAAGAGATATGTAAAGGAGGAATTTGAGGATGGCAGGTACATTTGTTGGTGATAAATACCATAAGCCCACAAGATAATGGTGTGTGGTGAATTTGTAATAGAGAAACTGTAAAGAAATTTACATCTTGTCTCTCATTATAGTGCTCTGGGGTTGACAAAAAGAGAGACCTCAAGGTATCCCAAGTCTCACTAAACAACAAAACCCTAGAAGTCCAAGTGAACTACAACCCAACCCAACCCAAACATAAAGATCCGTGAGTGAGAATGCATGAGACCATCTTTTAAGTAGTGCAATGAGAAGTGAAGATGCTCCAGAGAAACAACACATCACAAAGACATAGTATTGGAATTTATAGACCATTATGAAGAGCACACGTCAAGGTGAGATATTTAACTATCCACCTGATACAAGGTGAGACCAATAGATAAAGAGAAAAGAATCTATTGAAGTTTCAAGGGAAGAAGACAAACCGTTTTTGGAGATATTTCACGAGTTGATTTCTCCTGTAATTGAAACAAACAAACAAATTAAGACATTATACCAAATAATACAATTCTTCCAACACAACTCTTAGATATAGCCATATACAAAATTTTGAACATCATATGAGTACAAATATTAATACAAGCTGCAACAATGATGCATTAGTGAGAACTCTACAGAACTGACACTTCAATCATCCAAAGGCTTTTTTGAGAAATAAATAAAGATGCAAAAGCTTCATTTAGCATAAAGAGTAATGACTAGTCAATTGAGATCTGAACATCAGAGTGAAACATACTCATGAGCAATCAGAGCGCCGATACCCATCAGAGTAACTACAGACACCGGAAAGATATCTGATATAGGAAAACAAAATTATTTGCATATATTGGTGAAAATGGAGACACAATTAATTAAAAGAGGGAATGTAAGGTGGAGAGAGAATTACAAATTTTAGCAAGCAACGGCAGTTTAGAGAACTGTCTATGCATCTTGACGATGTCCATCTGAAAGAAACATTTTATTTATACAAATGAAATAACAAGAGAGAGACTTTTATCATCAAAATTCAAAAATAAAAAGGCCAATTATTTGCTAAAACAAAAGCAGGGGGTATTTTATTAAATCGATAAATGAAAGAAGTAAACAAATTTTTTTTTTTAAAAAAAAAAAAAAAAACACTTTGAAAACCAATGCTTCTGAAAACCCTAGCACGGAACAGAATAATAGCTTGAAATTTTCCACAGTAATGTAAAAAGTTGAGTAAAAATCAACACATAGAAGGAGAAGAAGAGGCGTCGTACCAGTAACGAAGCCCTCCGACTTCGCTTCGGCTTGCTTGCCTTCGCTTCTCTTCCCTTCTCTTCGTCCTTTTTCTGAAAACTCTAGCCCCTCATGATTTTACTTTTTCAGTACTCGGTCACACCTCTTTTGCGTCTTGTGACGCGGACGACTTTTACTCTAGCTCATCTTCGAGACCACCTACAGAGATTTTCAAGGAAAGGAGACAAACCGTTTTTGGAGATATTTCACGAATTGATTTCTCATGTAATTGAAACGAACAAACAAATTGAGACATTATACCAAATAATACAATTCTTCCAACACAACTCTACAGAACTGACACTTAAATCATTCAAAGGCTTTTTTGAGAAATAAATAAAGATATAAAAACTTCATTTAGCATAAAGAGTAATGACTAGTCAATTGAGATCTGAACGTCAGAGTGAAACACACTCATGAGCAATCAGAGCGCCGATACCCATAAGAGTAACTGCAGACACCGTAAAGATAGCTGATATAGGAAAACAAAATTATTTGCATATATTGGTGAAAATTGAGACACAATTAATTAAAAGAGGGAATGTAAGGTGGAGAGAGAATTACAAATTTTAGCAAGCAACAGCAGTTTAGAGAACTGCTTATACATCTTGACGCCGTCCATCTGAAAGAACCATTTTATTTATACAAATGAAATAACAAGAGAGAGACTTCTATCATCAAAATTCAAAAATAAAAAAAGGCAAATTATTTGTTAAAACAAAAGCAGGGGGTATTTTATTAAATCGATAAATGAAAGAAGTAAACAAATTTTGAAAACCCAGGAAAAAAAAAAAAAAAAAAAAAAAACACTTTGAAAACCAATTCTTCTGAAAACCCTAGCACGGAACAGAATAATAGCTTGAAATTTTTCACAGTAATGTAAAAAGTTTAGTAAAAATCAACACATAGAAGGAGAAGAAGAGGTGTCGTACCAGTAACGAAACCCTCCGACTTCGCTTTGCTTTGCTTGGCTTCGCTTCCCTCCCTTCTCTACCTTCTTTTTCTGATAACGATAATAAAATTCTCGGTATTGTATGTTTCTCTTTTTCATTTGATTGTACTAGCCTGGCCCAATCCTTTCTTCCACTGTTATTTTACCCTTTATTGTGGGTCTAGCCCAGTAGTCTGCATTTAGATCATCGAACCCAATTCTCAAAAGTCCAAAATCTAAAGTCTAAAGAGCCCGTCTGGAATGGCTTATCTACCGTTGAAAAGCGTTTTTATTTCAAAAATTTGCAATGGAAGGTGTTTGGTGATAAAAATAAATAAAAAATAAAAAAAAAAGTGCTTGTAAGTAGTAGAGGTTGTATCAAAAAAGCGCCTTTAATTGAATCTAGAAATTATAGCTTTTGAAAATTGCGTTTAGGGTAGAGGTAGATCTTTTTAGGTAACTAATTTTTTTAGACAGTTTAATCCCTATCTATTTTGTATAAATACAATTTTGTCCCTTATACTAACCAAATAGCAAACCAATATTTGTGTATATTTGTATCACGTATGATGTGGGTGTTTGGGATTGCTTCTTTATTATTGGAAAAACACTTTTATTCTAAAAAATTGCACTGCAATGTGTTTGGTGAAAAAAAAAAAAAAAAAAAAAAAAAAAAAACCTCTTTATGATAGAGGTTAGGTCTAAAAAGCACGTTTAAGTGAAGTTAGAAATCGTGACTTTTAAAATTGCGTTAAAGGTCCATATTTTTAGGTAACTAATTTTCTTTTAGACAATTTAATCCTTTTATATTTTTTATAAATATAATTGTATCCCTTCTACAAGCAAATAGCAAATAATATCTGGAACTATGTTGTAACAAACTAAAATCCTAATTTATTTTGGGACTCTCCAATGATCTTCTAATCTCAGTTTATTTTGGGACTCTATATTATATAATTGTTAGATGTTTAATTTTTAATAAATTATGACTTGTAATTTGTTTTTAAAATAACTATAATACATTTATGCTATTATCTTAAATAACAAGTAATAAGATTATTAATTGTGGTTAAAGTGTTTAGTTTTATTTTATGAAATGTTGTCTATATTGCAAAATATTATATCATTAAATTTCATTATTAGATAGGATATGAACAAATTTGCTTATTTTATTACTGGAAGATCTCAAATCAGATACAAATTAATCATCATTAAAATATGTTTAACTCATTTATATTTTAGTACTCAATACAAATTTGATATCATAAACAAAATATGTGATATTTAAAAAATAAAAATAAATAAATAAATAAAAACCAATATAAGTTGATATTTATAAATTATTGAAAATTTTATAATATTTAAAATTAGGGAATTGGTATATGTTTAGTGTAAGGGTAATATAGTAAAATTAATAATAAAAGTGCTTCAAGCAACATTATTACCAAACAAATTTAAAAGTGTTTTAAGTATAAAAAAAATGATTTATACAATGTGTCACCAAACGCTTAACTACGTTTTAGTGATAGTACTTTTATAACAGCTCTACTATTAAAAGCACTTTTAACATTTTAACAGCAATCCCAAACTGGCTCGACCACTACCGCCTTTCAATTTGTAGCTTCTGGGACTGTTGCCGCCTTCCAATCTTACCACTGCCGTCTTCCAATTTGCATCATATTTATTCTCATTGCATCAGAAAGACAAACCCTAGAATAAACAAGAAAAGGAAGCCATGGTAATTATTTTATCTAGACTTTCGAGTATATTAGAATTTCTTTGGAGTTTAAAAATCTATTGGAGTATTGTTTACTATTTCTTTCTCACCATAGTCGTGAAAAATGAAATACACGCAATCTTTTTGCAAACACATATAAGTAAATTCAAACTACTCAAACCACCTGTTGCCCAATCATATGGAGAATCTAAAATAAATGCAAACACCGAAAATAGATTACCAGATATGATTAATATGAAAAATATTCATTTTGGACTAAATACAAATATTATATAATAAACAAAATATGTGAAATTTTTTTTTTTAAAAAAATCAAAATAAGTTGATTTTCATATAATTATTAAACTCAATGAATTTTTAAGATATTTAAATTAGGAAATTAACACATGTTTATTAATGTATGGGTAATAAAGTATAATTAATAATAAAAGTACTTTAAGCAACATTTTACCAAACAAATTTAAAAGTGTTTCAAGTATAAAAAATGATTTATACAATGTATTATCAAACGCATAACTGCGTTTTATTGATAACAGTTTTATGACAGCTCTACTAAAAAAAACATTTTTATCATTCTAACAGTATTTCCAAACGGGCTCAAAATCTAAAGGAAAAAAGGAATTGTGTTTTATTTTTTTGTATACCTATATCTATCTTTAATAATCTAATCAACCCGTTGCCCTATCTGGATTAGTCAATTAATTTTAAATCAAACTTCAAATACATTAAATACTAATTTACCCCTAAAATGTTATATTATTTACCAAACTAGCTTAATATATATATATATACACACACACACACATGCTTAAAAACTTTAGCCTACCCCTCTTGATTTAACTTTCTCAGTACTTTGTCACAGCTCGTTTGCGTCTTGCAACTGCGCAGATGACTTTTACTCTAGCCCATCTCTGAGACCACCTCCAGAGATTTTGTTTCTCATCTATATCACTCTTTGTTCAGATATTTTGTTGTTTCGCCTTCTTCGTGTAGAGATCGTCAAATCTGTGGCTTAGACTTAAGAGATCGGTACCTTTCCTAAACCCTAATTTTATTTCTCATCTGATACATCATTTGTTCAACTTACCTTCTTCGAAAATTAAGAAAACAAAAATGAAAATATGAGGTAGCAGTTCCTTGAGTAAAACCCATCAACTCTAACTTTTCATATCTTCGCCTGGTCTCTCCAATATACCAGGCATGGCTATGAGCAATCAGTTCTCTTGGTGTTCTTCGTCACTCTTCCGAATCATTGACATAGGATCCTACTCCATGTCTTTATATTTTTGTACACATAAAAATTGTAGTCTGCAAATAAAGAACAAAATAGGGAGCAAAAATAATATTTTATTAATTTGAGAAAATTGGAGTACAATCCTCTATAATATTCTTTTATAAAGAATAAGGTCCTCTGATTCGATCTCCTTTATTGGTTGGATTCAAGGGCTTTTGGAGCTTGAACTTGAATCGGATTGTTGACAATCTTCTTCAAGTATTTGTAATTGAGGAAGACCGATGATGATTTCTGATCGAGGGCTGACGAAGCTTGATCTCGAACAGTATTGTTTGATAATTCTTTGAACTTGTTGAATCGTAGGGAAAGAACGGCACAATTTTGATGTGCTTATTGTTCTTTGTTGAATTTGAGGAAGAATGGCACGACTTTGAATTGGATGTGCTTCTTGTTCTTCGTCTTCAAAGAATTTGTTGAATTTGGTGAAGAACGGCACGACTTTGGATTGGCTTGTTGTTGATCACCGTGGAATTTTGATGAAGAACGACACGATTTGATATGCTTGTTGTTCCTCGCCTTCAGGTTTGGTGTTGGAGATGAATGTCAACAGAGCTTCTGTATTTCTCTCTGGAATTCTGAATTTATGTCCCCTCTGTATTTCTGGCCCTCTGGATTTCTGATTCTCTAAATTTCTGGACCTTTTTCCTCATTCCTCTAGGCCCTAGTTATAGGCTTCTTGGATTAATAAGATGATGACACGTTTCCTCTCTTGATAAGGACAAAATCATAACTGGGCCTAGCCGGCTATGTTGTGATGATTATCTATAAAATAATTATTCCAAATATATTTTATTAGGAATAATTATCTTTTTATTGAATCATTTGGGCTGGGCTAATTAAATAATTTAAGTGAACCAAGTTTGGGCTAATTAAATAATTTAATTAAACATGAAACCCATATTTGATGGATCAATTTGTCAAAACAAAAGTCCATAAATTTTAGTGTCTACAAATTACCCCCACTTCAAGTCCCATGTTTGACGGGACTTATTTCCTTTTTCAAGTGGGACTTGAAGTATCCAACTTAGCATTTGAATTATAAAAAGTTTTCCTATCCAACTTTGGATTATAATTTTATTTTTTCCCATTTGAACTGAATTATACAAATTCAATACAAATAGAAGATATTTTATTGTCTATATATACATATCCATGCTATTTTGTTAGACATCAATTCCAAAGCCTTTAAATACTTGTTAGATTGCGGCATCTGCTCAAACAAATAATCAGTATTACTTTTCTCTTCTTTTCTTTTTTTTTTTACATTTTTTTTTTCTCTTTTTTTTTTTCTTTTTTTTTTCTCTCTCTCCTTTTTTCATGCTTTTTTTTTTGCTTTTTTTCATGCTTTTTTTTTCTTTCCTTTTTTTTCTTCTCTCTCTTTTTTTTCACACATTTTTTTTTCTTTTCTTTTCTTTTTTTCTTCCCTCTCTCTCTCTTTTTTTCACGCATTTTTTTTCTTTCCTTTTTTTTTTTTTTCACTAGATCCACCAGTCCGTTGGAATGCATCTTTACTAGCCCCTCTGTGACCCATTGTTCCTTTAGAACGCATCTAATCCGTTAGGACCCATTATTCCGTTGGAACACATCTTTACTAGTCCGTTAGGACCCATTGTTCCGTTGGAACATATCTAGTCCGTCAGGACCCATTGTTCCTTTGGAACGCATGTAGTCCGTTAGGATCCATTGTTCCGTTGGAACACATCCTTACTAGTCTATCAAGACCCATTGTTCCGTTAGAACGCATCTAATCCGTCAAGACCCATTGTTCTTTTGGAATGCATCAAGTTCGTCAGGTGTTCCATTGGAACGCATCTAGTCCGTTAGGACCCATTGTTCCTTTGTTTTTTTTTTTTTTTTTTTTCAGAGAAATTCACTTTGATAAAAATCAAGAATGAAGTGAATGGTGAAGGCAATCAAATTCTGACCAAGATCCCAACTAAAGAAAACTTGACAAACTTTTTAGTAAAACTCCATCAGAATCTTGATATGTTGCACAAGTATGCTTGTGCGGATGCCTTTGAATACAAAACTCCACCAGAATTTGACTTTATGTTCTTGTGCATCTAGACATCACTCTCGAA